GTACTATCTCTCATCTGTATTCTTCCCAAATAATCTCCCTTTTGCTTTCACATGTGAAGTAGGTTTTTCTATTTATTACTAATCTTCATTTAGCACACGACATAGGTTTCATCATGACCTCTGCATGCATGTACATCATTGTTCTTAGCCCCTATTCAATCTCCTGCTCTTGTCCTGCATTGGTTTTCCAACTGTTCACATCCTTCCCTCCAGTAAGCTTTCTGCTTTGATGCCATATACATATTGGTGTTCTTGAGGCTTTTTTCATGAAGCTCTGGATGGCCTTGAATACATAACAATCCTCCTGCCTCAGTCCCCAGAATGCTGACTATAGGGACACACCGCCACGCCTGACTTCATCTATATCTTTAAATCTAGGTCCCCATGTGAGAGGAAATGTGTGCTCTTTGTGGAGTTTTGATATCTTCCATTACTGTCTCCTGTTACAGCATTGTGCATAACAGCCCCTTTTCCTGTCATGTCACGTATAGCTAGCCATGTGTAAGTCTATCATCTATCTATCTACCTGTTTTTCCATCTCATATCTATCCATCACCTATCATCCATGATCTATCATCTACGTATCTACCATCTAGCTTTATCATTTCTTTCTATCATCTGATATTTAGCTATCAATTTTCTATAATCTATTGTCTGACATCTTCATCTAGTATTCATCTATCGACCATCTATCAAGTATATCTATCAATTGTCTACCTACCTATCTATCATCAACCAGTCACATTTATTTACATACATATCACCTACCTATCCATCATCTATTTATTTATAATCAATCTATTATTTACGTATCTACTTATCAGCCCTATCCATTAGCTATATATCTATCTACCCACTTATTTCTCTATTTACTAGTAATATATATCTGTCAACTATATTTTATTATTTATCAACAATCTACCTATATCTATTTATCAGCTATTACCTAATAATTATCTATGTATATCATCTGTATCCAGCTGTCTTTCTATCCATCATCTGTTGACATATTCATCTTATATTATGTATGCATCCATCTATCTATTACTATATATCTCTATCTATCTAGATTCTTCATGTGTTAGAAAATGTGGCTTTTGTGTTTCTGAGTCAGATTTAGCTCACTTAACATCAAAACGGTCTTGACTTTCAGGAGTTGAGTAATAGAAGCAGCAGCTGAAGCCTGGCTAATGCACAAAGCCTAAGCCTCAGGGGGGAACTAATGCTCTCCTTAACGAAGGAGGGATACTATGTGCAGGGACGTAGTGTGAAAGTCAGCCTTCCTCAAGCCTCTGCTTCCTGCTCTTTGCCTAACGCCCTTCCTGTCTATGGGATTTGAGTGTTCTTACCACATGTGTCAGTGGTTGACAGGGACCTCTGAGCATGAGAGAAGATGGCCTTTTCTGGGTCTTTAGCGAATTGCCAGCTAGGCCAGTCTCTTGGTGCCCAGGCATTCAGATCTGGAATTTGGGACATTATGTCAAAAACTCCGTTATTTGGGGAGGTCAGTAAGGACTTCAACCATGAGAACTATTGAGTTCAGAGATGACTCTCTGGCCTGTGTTTTGCATTTTCAGTAGGGGTCAACTAGGTTGGGTAAACTCTCTGTCAGTACACCTAAACATTGAGATGATGATATAGAACACTCACCCCTGAAATGTATCAGACTTCTAGGCTCCTTCTAGCAAGACACATCTTCCCAAGCAGATAAAACAAACCTCTTCTGGTTCTTCCCCAATCCCTTATGGGCTCTATAAGCCCAGGCCAATGTTATTTTCCCTTCCCATTGCCTGGGGCTGGCTCAGGATCCTCTCCCATGTAGCAATGATTGGTATCAATTAGTAAATCTCACCCCACCCCTGCCAATTTAACTGTCCTCAAGGCTTGCTCTTACAGGTGCCTCCAGTATGCTGCAGGGCTTTTCTCCAACCACTTACACAGCTGCACAAGCTGCACCCAGTTACCTACTTGGAGAATTTCATCTACCCCCAAATGCACTCCTTACCATGGCAGCCATCTTGAGACATTCTCAAGTGGATCTTTCTTGCTCAATCATCCTCTGCCTTTACACACGTATAACCGTATTGATTGGAAGGAGGGTTTCGCAGGGCTGGCAAGATGGATCCGTGAGTGAGGGCACTTGCTATCAAAACTGATGACCTGAGTTCGATCCCTGAGCCCACATTGGGAAAGAAGAGCACGGACTCCAGGGTGCTGCCCTCTGAACTTCCTCCACATGATCACTGAGGCGTGAAGTGCCCCCTCCAAATGAATAGGTGTAAAAGGACACAGACCTAATTATATGCAAATAGATTACACTTTATCATGCTCACGTCTTTTCTAACCTTTCTGATATGCTGTTTACATACAAGGTTCAGTTGGGTAGCTGTAAATATACGTGGTAGTCATTTAGAGAAATCTGCTCTCCATATCAAAAAGTTCACCAAGCATTGACACTAAGGGTTTTATAAATCTGGAATTTTCAGATCCTTCCACATCCAAATTGAAAGGGACATTAGGGTGGGTAAGAAGATGGGGTGGATCTGGAAGGAGTTAGGGAGGAGGTGAACATGATCAAAATGTATTACATGAAATTCTCAAAGTATTACTAAAGTGAGGAAAAAGACATTAACAATACTCAGCTGAACTATATGAGCAAGTGAAATATTGAAATATATTTCTTGTCCAGGAATGGGAACCCATGTCTTTGATCCCTGAACTTGGGAGATAGAGGCAGGGAGATCTTGATTTTGACCAGCTTGCTTTTGCTTCATGGCAAGGCCCTCTCCCAAACTCATTGGGCCAGAAAGAAAGCTCATTGGTAGTGCTTGATGGCCAAGCACGCCAACCGGAGTTTGATACCCAGAACCCACATAAAAATTGTGAGTGTGGCCGGACAGTGGTGGCGCACGCCTTTAATCCCAGCACTCGGGAGGCAGAGGCAGGCAGATCTCTGTGAGTTCGAGGCCAGGCTGGACCGACAGCCTCCAAAACAATACAGAGAAACCCTGTCTTGTAAAACCAAAAGAAAAAATACTGTGTGTCAGATCATGCTTGTAATCTAAGAGCCAGGAAACCAGAGACAAGCCGATCCCTGGGGCTGGCTGGCGTGTGAGCCGAGGTGAATCCCAAGCCACTGAGACCCTACCTCAAAACAAACTAATGGCAGCTGTGGTTGCCAGCACAAGAGGGGCACAAGTTGAAGCCAGCCAAAAATCAGCATTGTGGGTGAGGCCTGAAAGGGGTAAACTAAACTCAAAGACTTCACTTCTAATAATTTACAAATAAAGGGGCCAGGCCCTCACTCAACCCTGCTGTAGCTGCCATGACAGGCTTCAGAAAAGACATGTAGGCCTCTGGCACAAGAAAACTCCAGATCCCCTGGCTTCCTAGAGCCTAGGGCAAAAACTGAACACAAACTCCAGACTTCCCTCCCAAAGCCTCCAAGATGTTCGGTTCCTAGGAACTGTTTGGCCAAAAAGAAACTCCAGGGGAGACCAAAACCTCCCCTGTAGTCTCCAGGATATAGTTCTGAAAACCATTGGTAAATATGTACAACAGGCCACCTTCAAGTAACAAGACAATGTCATAGAAACCATAGAATGTTTCCTCTCAGCACTGACCAATGAAAATAATTGGTACACAGGTATTTCATGCCAAAATATGACTTTGAGAAATTCTAATTGTTCCCAAATATCAACCAATCAGAAACCAACCTGTACCAACTGATGTAATTCTGTAACTTTTATCTTTAAACCTAGCAGTAGACAGGGAACTTCACTCCCTCTGGAGGCTGCTGTGTCAGCTTGCTAGATGGGGGTCCCTGTCATGGTTGGATGAAAATTCAATATAATTTAAACCTTGCTTTTGCAGTTTGGTGGGTCTGTCTTCCTGGTGGTCTCTGGGGACTTTGCAACTTGGACACAACAAGTGTAACACATAGAGGTCAGAAGATGGCATCAGATCCTTGGAACTGGAGTTATAAGCAGTTGTGAGGGGCCTGATATGGGCGCTGGGAATCGAACCCTTCCCTCCGTGAGTGAGTCATTTCTTCAGGCACATGTGGCTGTCTCAGTAACTTTATTAATTATTTACATCTTTAGTTCCTTTAGGGAGACTCACATACCAGAAGTCTGCAGGGCTGTAAACACCAGTGGCATGCATTATGCCAAACATTAGAAATACCCAACCACTTTGGAAAATAGGTATGAAAATCAAGTATCTGGACTGATCTATGTTCTACATGTCAGGTGGAAAAATAAGGGTTAATACATGTATCAACAATTTCCTCATTCGTGAGTCCTCTGAATATTTTCTACAATGTATTTTGGTCATACCCAACTCCCAAGCCTTCCCTTCCTCACTTTTGTGAAGTGGTTTCCACTGAGGTTCATCTTGGAGAGAAACTTACTAAGACACGAGAAAAACTGAGTTAAAAACAATAGGATATTTTAGCACAGAATTTTACAAGGAAGTGAAACAAGAGTGTGTTCTAAGAGGAGTTGAAACCACTCCTCCAAGTAAAAATTTCTGAAGATAAGAAGTGAATAACTCAAAATAGCTCCAGAAAGTCCTGCCCAGTGAGACAGATAACTTCCTGTTGTCCACATAAGATGCAGAACTCTCAGCGACCTCTCCAGCCTGATGTCTGCCTGCATGCCACCATTTCCCATGACAATGGTCTGAACCCCTGAACTGTAAGACAGTCACTCCAGTTAAATGTTTTCCTTCATAGGAGTTGCCATGGCCATGGCATCGGCTCACAGCAATCGAAATCCTAAAACAAAGCTCTTAAAGAAGACATAAGTTCAGTTCCCAGCAGCCATGTCAGACAGTTCATAACTGCCTGTAACTCCAGCTGCAAGGAGTCTGATGCCTTCTTGTGGCATTTGTAGGAACCTACACTCATGTGCACATACCTACCCCCCACACAAGCACACAACTAAGAAAACACCTGCACATAAGCAAACTGGAATATGTAGATCAAATTCAGCTCTCAATTGTTTTGTAAATAATTTTATTTCAACATACACACATATTTGTATAAAAGTAAAAAATCCTTAATATGTATACATTAACATTTGAGACTAGAAGTCAGTAGAATTGCTGAATGCCTAAATTATTGTTTAATACAAAGCACAAAACGGCAACAGCTTCCTTTATCTGAGTGAGTGTCTGTGTAGGCCCTCTGCTAAAGATTTCTCATGCATAGCCAATTACAATTTCCTCCAACAACTTTCTGGGGGACCATTCGTTATTGCCTGTATAACCATTATGGCTCGGGTAATCCACCACCAGGCAAATCTCACTTTAAGAGATTTTCTGAGCATTTCAAAATAAAAGACTTTATTGGGTGCTTAACAAACCAGTGTGTGAAAATGTCATTATGACATAGTCACTTCTAACATGTAGTTCTAAGAATGGCCTTCAAATAATGAAGCCACATCTGTCCTGTGAAACATCTGGATGGGGTGAGGGGCAAAGAAATCCTATCTCACTGGAATGCTAGGAATGTGATAATTTTTGTGTACAAGAGGGCCAAAAGGAAAAAAACCATTAATTTAGGGGTTGTTTGGGCTCAGAACACACCCGTGTTTATTTACTCTCGCTTTCCTGCTACAGCTTACACAGTGCTTAGGATGATCAAGTAGGGATTTTTCTCCTCCTCGGCAGTCAGAAGCTCCTGGGTTTCCTTATCAAAGTCAGTAATTCGAAGCCTAGAAAGACATGCAAAGTTGAAGCTCTCATTAATTCACTCTTGTAGGCTTTGAAAGTTTTCTTATTTATGTGTGTGCATGCATGAGTGTATGGGCAGCACGCGTGTGACGCCACCTGCAGAGGTCAGATGAGGTCTTGGGACCCTCTAGGGTTACAGCAATTGTGAGCTGCCATGTTGGCGGCTGGAAACTGAAGCAGAGTCCTCTGTAAGAGCATCAAATGCTCTCCACTGAAGAGCCAGTTCTCCCCCCTCACAATCCTCATTGAGCTTTCCAGCATCTCCTTTACACTCCATAATTCTCTTTCCCAAGAACAAGTTCAGGAGACCCTGATGACATGTCTCTCTAAATCTGGAGACATACACATGCCATCCAGACTCTTCTATAAAAACTGATTGGGAACTGGAGAGATGGCTCAGTGGTTAAGAGCACTGGCTGCTCTTGCAGAGGACCTGGGTCCAGTTCCACACTTGATGGCTGACCGCCACCTGTGTCTCCATTTCCAGGGGATCTGACACCATCTTCTGGCCTTCAAGTCTTCTGCATGCATGGGGTTCACAGATATAAAGACAAAACATCATACATATGAAAATAAAAATACATACGAAGGAACAATTTTAATTGATTTGTGGCTTGTGTTTTTGTTTGCACAAACGCACCTGCCAGTGGCGATGTCAGGTGTCGCCAACTGTTCCCCTCCATATCTTTTTGGAGACAGGGTCTCTCACTAACCTGCCATTCATGACCTGGCTGGCAGTGAGATTCAGAGACCCCGCTGCCTCCACCTTTCTCCCTAGCACTAAGGTTACAGCTACATGAGACCACAGTCAGCTTTTCAATGTATGTGCCACAGATTCGAACTCAGGTACTCATACTTCTGCTGCAAGCACTTTACTTGACTGAGCTGCCCTTCAAAGCTCTCACTGTGGCCATTTCTGTGGTACGATCTCAGCAACCCAAATGTAGTCTATTATACTATTATGTCAACACCCAGGATAGTGGTGGGAAACACTGATTCCATCTGAGCCTTTGGGTTTGGATAGCAGACTTGGAAAAGTCTTAAAGGTTTTTATTACATTCACGCCCCCAAAGAGCAATTCGTTCCATGTCCTGAGTGTCTGGTCTTAGTCCTTTGGTTAACTGTGTCTCATGCATGTGCATCCTCACACACGATCATTCACACAGACAACACACACACACACACACACACACACACAAACCCTGATTGTGTTCTCTGTGTTGCTTCTGGATTAACTACTTTTCTATTATTGTAATAAAACACAGTGACCAGGGCAATTTATAGCAGGCAGGGTATATTTGGGCTTACAGTTCCAGAGGGTTAAGTGTCCGTCACCATTGCAGCAGGGAGAGGGGTAGCAGGAGCAAGGAGCCAAGTGCACATCCTGAACCAGGAGCACAAAGCAGAAACACACTGGGAATGGTACTAAGCTTTGCAAGCATAGGGCCTGCCCCAGTGACACATGTCCTCAGGCAAGGCCACACCTTCTAAATCTTCCCAAACAGCACCACCAACTGGGATCAGGCATCCAAACATCTGAGTCTCGGGGAGACAGCTTCATGCAAGTCATCACATATTGTGCATTTTTATGTTTCAAGTAGCTTTGTAGGAAGCAACCACATTCTTAGGGCGTATATTAATTGCTGTACAAGTCTCTTTGAGACTTTCTCTGGTGGTGGAGGAGGGCAGTAAGTAACAATGACAATGACAATGACAACAACAACTAACTTGGTTTTGTAATAGTTACCACATTATCTGACACCTGTATATTTCTGAATTTGTCAGGCCAAGTAACGACTCCTACTTTGCATATCAATGCCCGATACTCAGAGGAACTGGTACCTTGCTCCTGGTGCAGCATAAATATGTCCAATCTGGGACCAAAGGCAGAGCTGGATGGCTCAAATGAGGACAGACAACTCACTTTTCTACCTCCTTACCCTTTCACTCCAGCTTGGTACGTTCTCAACCGTAGCCAAAACCAAGTAAGAAAGAAATTTGCAGGTACTCCACTTTTCCAGGGGCATGAGGGGAATTGCAAGAGTAAGTCTTTTTGTTTTTCTGAGACAGGGTTTCTCTGTGTAGCCCTGGAAATCCTGGAACTGCCTTTATAGACCATGCTGCCCTCAAACTCACAGAGATCCACCAGTGTCTGCCACCGAAGTGCTGCGATTAGAGGCATGCGCCACCACTACCCAGCCTCAAGAGTAAGCCTTCAGTCAACAATCTCCCAACTGAGCTATTTCAGCGGTGTTTATCCCTGCAATACAAACAGACATCGTGTGTCCATAACACAAAGAGGGAAGCTCTCTCAGTCTGGACCCTGCCCTGAGTGAAATGACAGACTCTAGATATCCCCTATGTGGAAGGAATTGGCAATAGGGTGGGAGGATGGGGGGGGATGGGAGGGGGTGCAGGAGGAGGGGAGGGAGAGGGAACTGGGATTGACATGTAAAACAAGCTATTTAAAATTAAAATAATAAAAAAAGAAAAAAAAAAAGAGTAAGCCTTAAGGAGGGGAGCCTGTATCTTCACAGAAGACACAGCTGGATGTATGAGCATTTTGACCCTGATAGGCACATTCATCCAGGGGCCTTGGGCTGCATGCATCCAAGGACAGCTATGTGAATTGTGTGCGAGGCTATGGTTGGACACCATAAAGTGTTTTTATTTTTATAGAGAAGTGTGGCCAAAATGAACCCGATCTTGGGGTCTGGGTGTCAGATCTCTCAGGAAAGTGTTTGCTACACAAATTTGAGGACCTGAGGTTAATCCCCACCACCGACATAAAAAGCTGGGAACAGTGGCACAGGCCTCTGGTCCAAGACTCAAGGAAGCACATTGGCAGATTCCTAGGGCTTGCCAGCCAACCAGCTTAATAGAACTGGTTAGATCCAGGTTCCAGTGAGAGATCCCATCTCAAAAATAATTGAGGTGGACGGCATCTTATGGTGGATGGCATCAGAGGCTGTCCTCTGGTCTACACACTCACATGTGCACAACCGCCCCTCCACACACACCTGTAACCTATACCACCTATATATTTTCAGAAAAGTTACCTTGATCTATATAGCTTTGAAGACCATGGAGGGAAAGCAAATCACAAAGATAAACGCTGACGATTATAAGTATATACTATATATCATATGTATACATACCTTATGCTGATATAGTCTAAATAGTTGATATATATTTTTATGTTCATGTCATATTTGTATAGGACTAATGCTTGAAATAATACTTTATGCTCAAGCAGACCACCCTAGCTTACTTAGCCTATGTTAAATGTTCTCAGGCATACAAGTTAGTCTCCAGATAGGAAAAAAAAACCCACTCAAATCGCCTGTCATAAAGCCCACCTGATATTAAAACATTGAGTGTCTCATGCAATTACTGACTACTGTGTTGAAATGAAAAAATGAAATTCTGTAAGTGTGTGCATTCATATTATAGAGACGAACAATCTCAAGTCAGAACTGTCTGCACAAACACAAATTTATCTACATTTATGTTTATATATTATTGCTTTACTGATGATAGCACCAAATGTCACCAGTTCTTGGGCATTCACCAGTCACAGGACTAGAAAAGGCTTTATACTTAACCTAATACTCCTGCAACAACAGCCCCCAAGTAAGAGAACACAAGTTTACTTTGTTTTTAATTTGAATTTTTAAAATATTTTATGGCATCTCCTCCCTAAATATTAATTAACTGTCCATAGCCTTCAGTGAGAAGTGGGGTTGCAAGACAAGATATGTCTACTGGTGCACCAGTGGCATGATTATTATTGGTGTGACAAACCAACTTAGTATTGAATTACTTGCATTTCTCTCTGTGTCTCTGTCTCTGTCTCTGTCTCTGTCTCTCTCTCTGTGTGTGTGTGTGTGTGTGTGTGTGTGTGTGTGTGTAAGTATGCAGAGGATAGAGTTCTACCTCAGGTGCCATTCTTGATTCTTGAGATGGGGAGGTCTCACCAATTTGAGTATATTGGCTGGACACTGATCATGAAGGATCCTCCTTCCTGTATTTTACCTCTCCAGTACCAAATTACAAGTGCAAAACCCATGGTTCATTTCAGGTGCTTTCTGGAAATAAAACTCTGGTCTTCCTGCATGTGTTTCAAGCAGTCTATGGACTGAGCCATCACCCCAGATGCACATTTCAGATCTTAGTCAATCCCTCCTTAGCCCCACGGGCTCTTCCCTTGAAGGAGAACAGAGCCCGGCTCACCGAAGTACATGCATGGTACACCTGTGTTGCTTCAGAGCCTCACACAGTATAGCCAACCCACTGCGGTCCAAGGTGTTCTGCAGCAGGTTGATTGACCAAAGGGTTTTATTCTGGCTAACAGCAGAAGCCAGGTCCTCACAAGAGGCACCAGTTAGCTCACAGGCTCCCAACCTGCAACAAAAAGAACAGCTCACCATCAAGGCGGAACATGGGTGAGAGGCGACTTGGTCATTTAGCCTATACTCACTCCACATTCTCTAAAGGTATCTTAAAAGCTCGGTGTTCAGGACATCACATTTCCCTTTCTCTGGCAGATGTGACCACAACTGCCCATTCTCTATATCCATTATTGTGGTGAATGAACTAGCCCATTCCACGGAGTCTGTAATCCCAGATCTTGAGCCTGGGGGGAAATTGGAGGTGACACTGGGTAATGCAGTGAATGGTTGGTGAGCTCTGAGTCGACACTTCAGGCTGCCTTGATACCTTTTGCTTTGAACCCATGAAGATTCATTTTGCTATGAACTAAACTTTGTCACCTCATAATTTGTATGTTGAGGTTCTAATCCCCCGTGTCTTGTGGGACTGGATTTTGAGACAGGTTCTTTACAGAATAAACTAAGTTACAGTGAGGACAATGGATGTAACTTCATCTTCTATACCTGAAGACACAGGGAGAAGACAGACATTTTCCAGGTCGATGAGAGAAGCCTGGAATGTACTCCATTTTGATCCTCTAAGGAGCCCTGCTGACAGCACAGGGTGATCTCATTTCTAGCCTCTACAATAAATCCCTGCTGCAAGAGTCACTCAATTCATGTTTGTCACAGCAGCCAAAGCAGTTAACACATCACTTACTCCAGACACATAAGTCCAAGAGATGTGGGTGAGTCACATTTATCATCTCCAGGGGAAATCCATCCATGCATACACACAACCATCTATGCATGCAGCCACTGTCCATCTATGTACCCTCCATGTAATAGCTACATATCCTACACATGCTTCAATCCATGAATACCATGAATCTATGCCTGCATGCAGCCATCAGTCACCCATCTATTTACCCACACAACCATCCAATCATCCGCATACTCTTTTAATCAAATACACATCCATCCATATAATAACATTCACCCCATGCATCCAACCATCAATCAATCATTCACCCATCTATGCAGTCTTTCATCCACCTGCCTTGGCATCCATCTGTACATCCATGCATCCATCGTGGCATCCATCTATCCATCTGCACATCCATGCATACGTCTATCCATCTGCATATCCATGCCTGCACCATTTGCTTCTCCTGCCTCCATTCACAGCAGTGAGGCTGCCTCATGTCACACTCCTTTAGACGATCATGTTTTATAAGTGTGTCCAGTTGAGACATGTTCTATAAGTATGCCCAGGCTCATTGCTTTCAGTCTTGTGGTTTTGGAGTGGCTTTTTTAATACAAGCACTGCTATTTTCTATGCTGTCCCCATGGAGTTTTAATTTCTCTTTCTGCACATTAATCTCCCACCTTTTGTCACCCTCGAGGACATGGCTGTGACTTTGAGGATACCCACCCAAGAGTCGTTAAGTGGCAGTTGGGTTGTTTGATAGCATCACACAGCAGCTTCACGCCAGTGTCTTGAAGCTTATTGTTGGAAACCTGGAGAATTGTCAGGTTCTGGTTGCTACTGAGGACTTCAGCGAGATGTTGGCAGCCACTAGTGGTGATGAGGCAACGTTCTACACTGCAAGAGACAAGTCACGACATACTGGTTACTCACTGACACAAGAGTTACACAAGACTCAGTGGTGCCCAAAACTGTGGACAGCACCAAGACCTTCAGATAACATCATCTTCTCAAGGGTCCACAGGGGACAATGAAGAAAACCAGGAATTCTAAGATATTAACAGTGGTGGAGCAGATCAAATACAACACATTGTAATAAAAGTTAAAACGGGACTGCAGAGATTTTCAGAGGGAAAGAGCAAATGCTGCTCTTTTAGAGAACCCATGTTTAGATGCCCAAACAGGCTGCTCACAAACACCTGTCACTCCAGTTCCAGGGGATGTGAGTCCCTCTTCCAGCCTCCTTGGGTACTTGCGTGCCAGTGGTACACATACATACACTCAGAAGTGCAAACACATAACATGCAGTAAATCTTTTTAAAAGTTGGAACAAGGCCCCAACCTCCGGTGACCCCAGCTTCAGGTAAGCCTGGGTCTCTGGGGGGGCCACTCCCCAGCCCCTGCCCAACACCAATCACCTCAATCTTCGGGGGGCCCACTCCTGGTATCCAGAAGACCTGCCCACACAGGAAAGGCATCAGCCCTTCCAGGCCCCAACCTCCAGCGATTCCAACTTCAGCTTCAGGAAAGAAGGAGACCAGTGGAGATAGAAAGACCCCCACCTGCACCCACTGGAAGAAGAGATGGGAAGAAGACAGAATAAGAGCTCACTCAGCAATAGAAACACCAACATGACTCCACCAGAATCTAGAAAACCAACGCCAGCAAGACCTGAAAAGCACTACGTAGATGAAGCAGAGGAGACAGACCTTAAAATTCTTTTATGAAGATGACAGAGACCCTCAAAGAGGAAACGAGGAAATCCCTTAAAGAAATAGAAGAAAAAACAAACAAAAAATCCATGAAACGGGGGAGAAAATTCAAGAAATAAACAATTCTCTCAAAGAATCTAAACAGTACCAAGAAAAAACAACCAAACAAATGAAGGAAACAACTCAAACAGTTGAAGGATTGAAAGCTGAAATAGAAACAATAAAGATAATACAGAACGAGGGGATGCTGGAAATAGAAAAACTGGGTAAACGATCAGGAACTACAGATGCAAGTATCACCAATAGAATACAAGAGATAGAAGAGAGAATCTCAGGTGTTGAAGACTCATTAGAGGATATACAGTCATCAACCAAAGGAAATCTCAAACCCAACAAATCCCTAACACAAAATATCCAGGAAATATGGGACACCATGAAGAAGTGAAACCTGAGAATAATAGGTATAGAAGAAGGCGAAGAAATACAGCTCAAAGGTACAGAAAACATATTCAACAAAATCATAGAAGAAAACTCCCCTAACCAAAAGAAAGATATGCCTGCCGGGTGTTGGTGGCGCACACCTTTAATCCCAGGACTCAGGAGGCAGAGGCAGGCGGATCTCTGTGAGTTCGAGGCCAGCCTGGTCTACAAAGTGAGTTCCAGGACAGCCTCCAAGGCTACAGAGAAACCCTGTCTCGAAAAACCAAAAAAAAAAAAAAAAGAAAGATATGCCTATGAAAATACAATAATCTTACAGAACACCAAATAGGCTGGACCAGAAAAAGAAGTCTCCTCCCCATATAATAATCAAAACATAAAACCTACAGAATAAAGAGAAAATGTTAAGAGCAGCTAAAGAAAAAGGCCAAGTAACATACAAAGGCAGACCTATCTGAAATACACCTGACTTCTCAATGGAAGCGATGAAAGCCAGAAGATCCTGGACAGATGTCCTACAAACACTAAGAGAACAAGGATGCCAGCCCAGACTACTATATCCAGCAAAGCTTTCAATTACCATAGATGGAGAAAACAAAATACTCCATGACAAAGCCAGATTTAAACAATATGTATCCATGAATACAGCTCTACAGAAAGTGCTGGAAGGAAAACCTAGACCCAAAGAAGATAACTACACTCACAAAGACACAGGTAATAGATAAACCCATTTTACCAAACACCAAAAGAAAAAGGGAGGAGAAACTACACAAAATAACTTCACTAACAATAAATCAAGCACAAACAAGAATCATCAATCAATGGTCATTAATATCCCTCAATGTCAACGGCTTCAACTTGCCTATAAAAAGACACAGACTAGCAGAATGGATACTAAGACAGAACCCATCCTTCTCCTGCATACAAGAAACACATCTCAATGTCAAAGACAGACGTTACCTCAGAGTAAAGGGTTGGGAAAAGATCTTCCAATCAAACGGTCCCAAGAAACAAGCGGGTGTAGCAATCCTAATATCTAACAAACTAGACTTCAAATTAAAATCAATCAAAAGAGATGAAGAAGGACACTTCATATTCATCAAAGGAAAAGTACATCAAGATGAAGTCTCAATTTTAAACATCTATGCCCCAAATACAAAGGCACCTGCATTCGTGAAAGAAACATTACTAAAGCTCAAATCACACTAAAATCTCACACACTAATAGTAGGAGACTTCAACACTCTGCTCTCACCGCTAGACAGGACCTCCAGACAGAAACTTAACAAAGAAACAAAAGAACTAATAGAAGTTATGACCCAACTGGGTTTAACAGACATCTATAGAACATTCCACCCAAACACAAAGGGATATACCTTCTTCTCTGCGCCACATGGAACCTTCTCTAAAATTGACCACATAATAGGAAACATAGCAAATCTCCACGGATACAAAAAAATTGGAATAACCCCCTGTATCTTATCAGACTACCATGCATTAAAATTAGAATTCAACAATAACACAAATCACAGAAACCATACAAACTCATGGAAACTGAACAATGCACAATTGCACATCCCTGGCTACAACAAGAGATAAAAAAAGAAATCAAAGATTTCCTGGAATTCATTCTAGTCCCAGAGAGTCCCCTAAGACTATCTCCCAAGTACTGGTTATAGGTTTGTGCTACCATAAAGAACTCTGTATATTTTAGGAGTTAACTCTTCAAGTACATCAACCCAAATAAACCATATATTTCTACTGTTTCATTAAAACCGCAGTCCGTGTATGAAGAACCAACTTTCTAAATACGACTTCAGTATTTGAACATGGTTTGTTTTCTTCATTTACACTATTAACTGATAACACCGTTGTGACAGCCTCATTGCTATCAGTTCACTTCATGTTGATACACGGTATGTGGTGGTTGGAATGAGAATTATCCCCCAGAGCTTCAGGTATTTGAACACCTGTTTTCCAGTTGGTGGCTGCATTTGGGGGAGACACAGGGGGCACACCTGTGCTGGAGAAATTATCTGTGTAGTTTTTGGATTACATATATTCATTCATATCATCTGAATAGAATAAGTGGTTTCTTTGTTGTTCCTTTAAGGGTGGATTTAGGAATTCCTTCGCACGCACTTACCTGTCTAAAGAAACCTTTGGCTCTTACTGGGATTCCCAGGACTCTCTGGAACAGAAGGGACTGCAGGAGATCTTGTTTTGGGATGGAGAGGAAATTTCACCTCTATGGGTAAATGTTTTGTGTAGATATTTTTATTCTGGCATTTGCCTGTGAAAAGGAGGACTGCCACTGAACTATTTCCCTAAGCCTCTTGTCACTTTAGCCTTGGAAATGGAGTTCACTAATACATTGCAATTTTCTACCCTACCCTTGAAATCTTCATATGCCTCTCATAATTTATAAATCTCTGTCTCTCTCTCTGTCTCTGTCTCTGTCTCTCTGTCTCTCTTTGTGTCTCTGTCTCTGTCCCTGTATCTCTCTCTCTCTGTCTCTCTGACTCTAGTTTTTGAGACAGTGTTTCTCCACGTACCTTTGGAGCCTGTCCTGGAAATCACCCTGTAGTCCAGGCTGATTTGCCTTCACACAGATCCTCCTGCCTCTGCCTCCTGAATGCTGGGATTAAAGGTGTGTGCTGCCACTGCCCAGTGCCAGATACTTTTAATGTTTTAAAAATATATTGTACCTGTTTTTTCAGTGGTTTTCAGTATCTAAAAATAGGCAAAGCCATCATTTGAGGAAAAATATCCCATGATCCACTTTTTGTTTTATTTCTGTTCCTTAATCCCTTCTAGGGAGGATAAAAATGTGACCAAGGTTTCACAACACTAATTAGAATTGTTCTACCAAGGCCCATATGTCTGGATGTCTCACAGAACATCATTTGATCACGGAATAATAATCTACTTGGCATACTCAAAACAACCACCACACTAAATGACCAAATCAATGCTCAGTTGTATAATCTGAAATTAAAGAGTTCTGTCATTCCTGTTGTCATTACTGTTTATTCTTCCCCAAGTAGACTTTTCATGCACAGGAACTAATCCACACATGTATATTTGGGTCCCCTCTTACACGTCTTATTCTTTCTTTGGGTTTGAAATGTCTCCCTATAGGCTCACTCATTTAAACACTTGGTCCCCAGTAGGGGGTACTGTTTGAAGAGGTTATGGGGCCTCTGGAACATTGGGGTCTGACAGGTAGATGTGGGCCACTGGGCATGGGCTTAAGGGTTCTATCACTACCCCTGCTTTTAGTTCTACTTGATGCTTCCAAATCCCCAAACATGTGACGGATTTCTATACACTCCTGCCACCACACGGCCATTCTACCATGTTCTTTCTCCACCAGGAGAGACTAGAACACTCCATCCCATAACTTACAATGAACCCTGATTCCTTTAAGTCCCTTCTGTCAGGAATTTCATCACAGTCACAACCACAAGAAAAATCAAGAATATACCTTTCTATCCACAATTTGAGATCCAGGTTTTGACTTGAGGGAATTCATCTCCTAGTACCCACTCCAAACACCTTATCCATCTTTTGGACCCAACTCATAATTCCTTTCTCAGTCCCTTGTGTCTATATCCTGGGTGGCTGCCCACCACATACCAAAACCTCATCACAGAAGTCAAGGTATGGAATTGTCCTTGGGAAAGGCTCATTAGCAACCTGATGTGAATAACCCTAACCTCCATATTCTCTGGTATATACAGATATCAAGGATCCCTAGACAAGGCTTCTAATGTCAAGCCAAAGAAACCTACATTAGTGATTTCAGGGCACTGTCCGGGAGACTCAGAGACTTGCAGAGAACCTTCAGTCCTTCGTCCTTAAGGTCATTGGAGCTGATGTCAAGGCTCTTCAGGATTTTGTTCCTCTTCAGAACATCAGAAAGGTAGTCCCAACATTGCTCACTGAGGGAGCAGTTGGACAAACTGTGGGAGGGAATGATGGGCATATGAATTGAGGGGGGTAACATTTTATAATTATACACATTAATAAAACATTCAAGCAAGACAAGAAACCCCTGGCTTATCATTTCTCATATCAGCACTAGTGTTGAAACTGAGTAAAATTCACTGAAAATGCTTGCTTGGAAGACCTTACCTGATGTTTACCTAAATCCTTTATATTAACAATACCTGGACCACCGAGTTTTAATGATACTTTTTATAACTATACAGCTATTGTCATACAAGCAACCACATACATGTTGTCTTATATAATGAATAATATGAAAAATATATATATGTGTCTTATTTTCATTTCTATTGTTGTAAGAAAAATAGCCTTACAAAAAGCAACTTTGTGAGTTGGGTGGTAGCGGTGCACACCTTTAATCCCAGAACTCATGAGGCAGAGGCTGATCTCTTTGAGTTTGAGGCCAGTCTGGTCTACAGAGCAAGTTCTAGGACAGGCTTCAAAGTCACACAGACAAACCCTGTCTTGAAGAAAAAAAAAGCAGTCAAACAAAAAAGCCACTTTGGGAAGAGAGGCTCTATTCACTATTCCAGATTGGAAGTTCCTCAGGAAGGGAAGCCAAGTGGGGTGTGGGGAGCTGACATAAATATTGAACAGTTTGTTGGTAGCATCACATCCAGAGTCCGGGGCATGCCTATTGCTCAGTTCTTGTTTCTCACTCTTCTGTAATCCAGGACTTGAACCTAGGGAATGGTGCTGCCCATAGTGGGCAGGGCCTTCTCCCATCAATTCACAGACAAACTCATAGGCTCATCATATCTAGACAGTCCTTCAATGACACTCTTCTCAGGTAAGTCTACATGGTGCCAAGTTGAACATTGACATTATCAGAATATGAAATTTATAGGACTATTTGATATGCAAAATTTTAATCACTCAGTCCCTTCCAAAGCACCAAGCCATCTCTCTTTCTCCTCTGCATTCTAAAGACGCCGATTCTCTTCTACGTTAGTCCACCTACTCACTCTCTCCAGACTTACAAGAGAGGCTCACTCAGTAAAATATGAGGACAAGGGCCTCATGGGCATTCCACTCTGACTGTCCCAGCCTAGAGCCCACACTGTATGCCAGAAACAACTTATTGATGAAGATCTGTGAGTCCGTATTAGGCACTGTAAACTAATCTGACACCTTTTGAAGTTTAGTACATTAATACTTTGGTATCTATGGGTAGATGGGGTGTACATGGGGAGCCAGAGGGGCAGATTGGCTGTGGATAGAAAATCCCACAGGTGCTCAAGCGCTGTAAGTACAATGTTTCAGTATGTGTCCAGAACCTGTTCACAGTCTCCCATGTACTAGCTCCAGCTTCCTCCAGACTGCTTATAACACACATACAATTAAACACCATCTACCTGCTGAGCTATGTTGATAGGGAATAGCTAGAAAAATAATGTACAGATGTTGGGTTCAAAACCAATTTAAAATTTAAATATTATTGTGTGTGTATGTGTGTGTGCATGTGTGATAAAGATTTTATTCATGTGTGTCATGAGTGGGTCTGTCTGTAAGTGTGAGGGGGCCTGTGGAGGACAGCAGTGTTGTTAGATTCCTTGGGCCCAGAGATACAAGTGCTTGTTAAATAGCCTGCCACAGGTCATAGGAAACAAATGCATCTTCTGTAAGATCCCTGAGTGTATTCCTAACCACTGAGCCTCCTTCTCCAGGCTCCCTCAGCTTGTCTGCAATTCTTAGGTTTAGGCTCTGAAATTTATGCTGTGGGGCTCTTTCAATGGTCAGACATTAGAACTAATTAATTTCTGCGTGTGGAGTTGTAGAATGCCTTGGTTACTGGGCAAGCTTCCTACAAATACGTTGTTCTGGTAAATGGATAAGCACAGAAAGGCATGATGATTCAATGATAAAGACTGTGCAACTGTCCGAGTACATTATGGCTGCATCCTAAGGCCAAAGAAAGAAAGCCCAAAGGGAACTGTCATAGCCACTTACGGATGCAAACAGCATCCTTACTCCATTCCTATGAAGAATCACAGCTACCCACACAGGCACCCTTTCCCCCACAGGAGACTGTCTGACCTTTGCTGTTCGGGCATAAGCAGTCTGCTCTGTCAAGGTTAGCCTCCAGCTTCTCTTCTATCTTCTGTGTCTCCTCTGTGCTGCCTCAGGAAACTATCAGCAAGAGGCTGTTGGTGCCTGTCTCCCACAGTTGCTCCTCGCCTCCTTTTGAGACTGGAGCTCACCACTATGTCAGATCCTGGAGCTGTAGGACCCACCTATCCTCACCCGTCTGCTATGGGTTACAGATGGTCTACTGCTGTTGTCAGCATGGCATAAACTCTAACTCACTGAACCATTTCCCTGGTCACAGTTTCTCCACAGAGACCCTCCCCACCATGACCACTTACACTAAGTACTCCAGAACACAGTCTGGGTGGCACAAAGCCTTGCAGAGCAAGTGCATCCCTTTGTCCAATTTGTTGGAGGAAATATTAAGATGCCTCAACGTCTTGTTGCTGATCAGGATGCAGGAAAAGATCATGCAGTCATCAGGGGAAAGCTGGCAGTCTGCCAACCTGCAGGCAAGGAAGAATGTCATAGTCTTATCTGGCTTCATAACATGTCCCCTTGTTATCCACATGAAGATTTGGGACCTTTCATAACTTGACACTGTTCTTTAAAAAAGATTAAATATAGACCAATTTCTCTCATGAACATTGATGCAAAAATACTCAATAAGATACTAGCAAACCGGATTCAAGAACACATCAGAAAATCATCCACCATGATCAAGTAGGCTTCATCCCAGGAATGCAGGGATGATTCAACATTAGAAAATTATCAACGTAATCCACCATATAAACAAACTGAGAAAGGAAAACCACATGATTATCTCACTAGATGCTGAAAAAGCCTTTGACAAAATCCAGCACCCCTTCATGATAAAGGTCCTAGAGAGATCAGGGATAACAGGAACATATCTGAACATAATAAAAGCAATATACAGTAAACCAACAGCCAACATCAAACTAAATGGACAGAAACTCAACGCAATTCCTCTAAAATCAGGAACAAGACAAGGCTGTCCACTCTCTCCATATCTCTTCAATATTGTACTTGAAGTTCTAGCTAGAGCAATAAGACAACAAAAGGAGATCAAGGGGATACAAATAGGAAAAGAAGAAGTCAAGCTTTCACTATTTGCAGATGACATGATAGTTTACATAAGCAACCTGAAAAACTCCGCAAGGGAACTCCTAGAGCTGATAAACACCTTCAGCAAAGTGGCAGGATACAAGGTTAACTCAAAAAAATCAGTGGCCCTATTATATACAGATGATGAAGTGACTGAGAAAGAAATCAGAGAAACACCACCCTTTACAATAGCCAAAAACAGCATCAAATATCTGGGGATAATGTTAACCAAGGAAGTGAAAGACCTGTATATCAAGAATTTTGAGTATTTAAAGAAAGAAATCAAATAGGATACCAGAAAATGGAAAGATCTCCCATGCTCTTGAATAGGTAGGATCAACATAATAAAAATGGAAATCTTGCCAAAAGCAGTCTACAGATTCAATGCAATCCCTATCAAAAATTCCATCACAATTCTTCACAGACCTGGAAAGAACATTAATCAACTTTATATGGAAAAACAAAAGGCCCAGGATAGCCAAAACAACCCTATACAATAAAGGAAATTCAGGAGGCATGATCATACCTGACTTCAAGCTCTATTACAGAGCTATAGTCCTGAAAACAGCTTGGTATTGGCACAAAAATAGACAGGTAGACCAATGGAACTGAATTGAAAACCATGATTTTAACGCACACACCTATTAACACTTGATTTTTGACAAAGTAGCTAAAACTATACAATGGAAAAAAGAAAGCATCTTCGACAAATGGTGCTGGCATAACTGGGTACTGGTATGCAGAAGGCTGCAGATAGATCCATGTTTATCGCCTTTTACAAAGCTTAAGTCCAAATGGATCAAAGATCTCAACATAAATCCAACCACACTGAAACTCTTAGGAGAGAAAGTGGGAGATACTCTTTAACAAGTTGGTACAGGAGACCACTTCCTGAACATAACACCAATGGCACAGACACTGAGATCGACAATTAACAAATGGGATCTCCTGAAACTAAGAAGCTTCTGTAAGGCAAAGAACACAGTCAACAAGACAAAAAGGCAGTCCACAGAATGGGAAAAGATATTCACTAACTCCACATCTGACAGAAGGCTAATCTCCAAAATTTACAAAGAACTCAAGATGCAAGTCTCCAAAACACCAAAGGATCCAATTAAAAGGTGGGGTACAGAACTAAATAGAGAATTCTCAATAGAGGTGGCTAAAATGGCCAAGAGACACTTAAGAAAGTGCTCAACATCCTTAGCCATCAGGGAAATGCAAATCCAAACAACTCTGAGATACCATCTTACTCCTGTCAGAATGGCTAAAATCAAAAATACCAAAGACAATTTATCCTGGAGAGGATGTGGAGAGAGGGGAACACTCCTCCACTGCTGGTGGGAGTGCCAACTCGGACAGCCACTATGGAAATCAGTATGGAGATTCCTCAGGAAAATGGGAATCAATCTACCACAAGACCCAGCAATTCCACTCTTAGGCATGTATACAAAAGAGACAAATTCATACAACAAGGGCATCTGCTCCACTATGTTCATAGCAGCATTATTTGTAATAGCCAGAACCCGAAGCAACCTTGATGCCCCTCAACTGAAGAGTGGATAGAGAAAATGTGGTACATTTACACAATGGAGTATTACTCAGCACAAAAAAACAATGGAATCTTGAAATTCGCAGGTAAATGTATAGCACTGGAAGAAACCATCCTGAGTGAGGTAACCCAGTCACAAAAAGACAAACTTGGTATGTACTCACTCATATATGGATTTTAGACATGGATCAGGATAGTGCCAGTCTGCACTTCCACTGACAGAGTCTGGGAAACAGGAAAGAACCTAAGAGATATGCATGATACCCAAGAGAAGAGGAATGAGGCAAGATCTTCTGAACAGATGGGGAACATGGCGAGGGGTGTGGGGGAGTGGGAGCTGGGAAGAAGAGAGGGGGAGAAGAGGAAGAGAGAGTAGGTCATGGGGCAACAGGGACGTTGAGTGGGGTTAGAATAGGGGGAAGAGGGAATCATAGGTTAGAAGAGAGATCTGGCACCAGTGTGACCTCTAGTGATGTAAAGGGATGACACCAACTGGCAAGCTAAGCAATAGTGGAGAGACCACCTCGAATGCCCATTCCTGATAATGAACTTGATGTCTATAACCATCCTGGAGCCTTCATCCAGTGACTGATGGAAGCAGAGGCAAACACAGTTAAACACTGAACTGAACCCAAGGAACCCAGTGGCAGAGAGAGAGGAGCAATGAGCAAATTGGCAAAGAATGGGCTGGCAAAACCAGCAGAGACAGCTGATCTGAGCCAGAGAGAGCTCTTGGACCCCAGACCGACAGCTGGGAGGCCAGCATGGGACAGATCCAGACCCCCTGAATGTGAGAGTCAGTGAGGAGGCCTGGGCAACCTATGGGCCTTGGGCAGTGGATCAGTGTTTATCCCTGGCATACAAACAGAGTTGGTGTGTCCATAACACAAAGAGGGATGCTCTCTCAGCCTGGACTCTTAGGGGAGTACCTGGAGTGAAATGACAGACTCTGGATATCCCCTACGTGGAAGGAAGTGGAGATAGGGTAGGAGGCTTGGGGGGGATGGTGAGAGGGTGGGGGAGGGGAGGGAGAGGGAACTGGGATTGACATGTAAAACAAGCTATTTAAAATTAAAATAAAAAAGAAAAATAAAGAGAACAAAGAGCTCAACGAAAAGAAAAAAGATTAAATTAGTGTGTATGAGTGTCTGTCTGCATGTATGTATGTGCATCCCATGAGTGCCTGGTACCTACAGAGTCAGAAAGAGCATCATATCCGTAGAACTAGAATTACAAGTGGTTCTAAGCCATTCATTCAGTGCGGATGCTGAGACTTAAACCTGGGTCCTCTGCATAAGAAGCAAATACTCTTAACCATTGAGCTATGTTTCCATCCCAGTTTTTAAAAAGTACATTTGTTTATTGGTGTGTGTGTGTGTGTGTGTGTGTGTGTGTGTGTGTGTATTCAATGCCCTTGAGTTACCAGCTGTAATGTAACGTAAACTGTGATGACCTGTTTAAGTTTGATGAAACTGGACTCTGGGTGTGAGGAGGGATTTCCTACCCCAGACTCAAGCATGTTTACTGCAAATATTCTCTAAGAATCCTTGTCCAGGGATGGACTGGCCCTGTAACCTGTTCTGTAACAGGGAGAGGAGGGAGTGCTCACACAGTGAAAAAACACTGTGCTCCTGGGAAGGGCTGGATGTAAGCCAGGGCCAACCAAGGCTATGATTGCTTACCCCAGAACATAATAAAGGCCTGCAGCAGGAAAACAAGGCGGGAAGGGGGAGGGACTCAGGGTGGAGAGGATGCTCTACTCGGCCTCAAACTCTCAACCCGCAATTCCTTTGGGGCTGTCTCAGGGCTTCTCCAGTCATTTCTGCTGGGTGAATGTAAGCACCTGTCTTGCTCATGCTATCTGTGGACATCACCTATCTGCTATTATTTCTTCTTTTCCTAAGGGGAACCAAAGGAATTCCCTGATTACTTTAATGAGGTTTCCTTGGTCTATTTCTGCTGGATGTTTGTAGGCCCTGACTGGATATTTTCTTTAGTTTTCTCTGTCACTGAATTATGCTAGTCTCTGTTGGACATGTCAGTGTCAGATCTGATGAAACTTTGCTAGTTGACTGTGACTTCTTTCTGCTACTTGGTATTTTTTAAGTTATTTTTGCTATATACTCAATCATTCAAAAGCAAAAGCATGGCTACCATAGAACCACACAGAACACCAGTATCCAGGGCATATAAAAGGACAAAACTGCACATAGGAAGACCTGTTCTCTTCCATACTCATCCCCTCCCCACTTTCTGTCACTAGCTCCAAACAAGGACACCTATATACCACAGTTTGCCCAGCTTTGAATGTTATATATGAACACCTGATATCCTCTTTAATCAAATTCATTCCATCAACAATATCTGAGATCTCTCTAGATAGGATCAATAACCAAAGACTTTTGTCAAGCTTCCTGTCTGTCAGAATGTCGACTTTTCATGTCTGAACACCTGTCATTCACGGATCTGGGAATGCCTGTCCTTCAACAAAAGGAGCCATGCAACCATGGAACGTACACTTAGCAGTGAGTTCCGAGTTCTTAGGTATGCCAGGGCCCACAAAAGCTGAAGCAATGGTTTCCTGAGTGATTACACCTATCTAGAAATTAACTTTCCCTTTTCGTCATCAGTTTAATTAAAAAGTTAACAGCAGACTAACGCATTTTCCATCTCACGTGTGAGCATTTCTCCTGCATGTGTCTCTGCACCACATGTATACCTGGTACCTGCAGAGGTCAGAAGAAGGCATCAGAACCCCTGGAACTAGAGTAGCAGAAGGCCGTGAACCACCACGTGGGTGCAGAGAATTGAACTCGGGTCCTCTGGAAGAGCAACAGGTGCTCTTAACAGCCTACTGTTGTAAACTTTTTAAGAGTTACATTTACTTATTGGTCTGTATACCTGTGCCACAGTATACACATGGAGTAAAGGAGAACAATTCATTGAAGTCGGTTCTTTCCTTTCTCCATCTGGGTCATAGGGATTGAAGCAGGGTTTTAGGGTGAGCAGAAAGCGCCTTAAGGCACTTATCCCTCTAACTTGCTAGCTGTGATTTTTTTTTTGGTTTTTATGAGACAGGGTTTCTCTGTATTGTTTTGGAGGCTGTCGGTCCAGCCTGGCCTTGAACTCACAGAGATCTGCCTGCCTCTGCCTCCCGAGTGCTGGGATTAAAGGCGTGCGCCACCACCGCCCGGCTCTGTGATGGGTTCTTAAGGTGACAAAGTTTGCACAGAATCAGTATAAACTAGGGACATAAACAAGAGTGCACAAATTTTAAATTGAAGTCTTCCTGTGATGGTTTTAAGAGTCAGCTTGACACAATCTACAAATCACATCAAACGGGAGCCTCAGTGAAGAATTCTCTTGATATGGATGAGCTGTGGGCAATTTCTTGATAACATTCACTAAGATGCTAAGACCTGCCCACTATGGGAGGCACCATTCCTCAAGAAGGAGGATCCTGAACTGTGTAGAGTGGGGAGTTAGCTGAGCACCAGCGTGTGTCCATGAATCTACTGCTCTTTGTTCTCGACTGTGGATGGGATGTGACTATCTTTTTAAAAAAATCACAGCAAGATGGATAAAAAAAAAAAAACCTCAGATGCCTGTTTTGATGGGAGTCAGCAAGCTAGGCTAACACAAAGACTTACTGGAGTTCTTCTATGCTACACTCCTCCTGGTTCAGGAGATCGAACAACAGTTTTACGTCACTGTTGGCCAGGGACGTGAGGTTGAGGTCCAAGTGATGCAGGTTATGGTTCTGAGACAGCAGATCAATGAACATGTTTTTGTTCCACAAGGTCACGTTATTTACCCTGCAGAACAAAGAGATCCATCAGTTCCCATCCAGCCCAAGCTCTCGCCTTTGACCACCGTCTAAGTCCCAGTAGTGACTCTCCTCACTGGTTCTGCAACTGGTGGATTTTTCTCTTCCACAGGAACTCTGAGAATGTCTGGAGGCAAGGCTGGCTGTCACAAGAGGAAGCTGCTAGCCTTAGAAAGAGGAGCCCACACATGCTCTCATTCTACAATTCACGAGACAGACCCCAGTGGAGAATGGTCAGCAACAGACATTACTGGTGTTAAGCAGCCAGTCTTCACTTATGCAGTTAGCTGAGAGGTGGGGGTGGGGCATTATCCAATACTTAGGTGATGTGGCCCTATCAAAGTCGACCTTTAACTTACTGTAATTCACGAGGGGTGCAGGTAGGATGCTTTAGGCAATTATACAACATCAATGAGGCCAAGTCGGTGAGATAAGTGTCTTTCACCTGGATGATATGGAGTTGCTGACTCCGTACAAGCACAGAGCACACATCTTGCCAACAGATGAGCAGCTTTTCCCTGAAATGGAGGAGAAGGGCACATATTCCATTGCTAAAATGTTAATCAAGGGGAGTCAGAGATGGCTCCTAGGTGCAGAGCATCTGCTGTTCCCGAAGAGGACCAGAGTTCAGTTTCCATCCCTCACTTGGGGGCTCACAACCATCCATAAGTACAGTTCCAGGGCAATGACTCCTCTTCTGGCTACCATGGGCACTGTAAGCACAGGGTGTACATGCACGCGTGTAACTAAAACATTCCCACACACAAAATAACTATGAATGGATGGCAAAACCTGCCAGTGCTTTCACAGTCTACTCATTTACCAATCAGTTAAGCCAAGACATTCGCAGCACACAAATGCTGCAGCAGACTGACTCTCTGAACAGAGCAAGTGTACTTAAGTTCATGCTCACAGATCCCGGCCAGACACTTCACAAGGTAGGGATTCTGCTCATTATAGCTTGAGGGTAGAGGTACAGCTCTCATCTTTTGGGTAAAGGTCAGAGGTGATTCTGAGAATCCTACACAGTGGGAACCAGGTTCGTCTGCTGTGGTAATATCTAGCTTGTACAAATAAAGCATGTCTGAAGGTCAGAGAATGGAGCTTGCCTCTAGCTAACCATACAGGCGAGGAGATATATACAGCCAGACAGGATGTGAGGTAGCTGGGCGGAAACAGAACGTAAGCAGGGAGAAAGAAGAACTCTCTTGTCTGCCAAGACTCAAAGGAGTTAAGGTATGGCCATGGCTTGCTCCTTCTTTCTGTTCTCTCAGCATTTTCTTTATATGTGACTCCAGGTTTTTATTATCTAGACCAATTACGAAGTCCATTTACATCCTGGGACTGTCACCTACTCTCGCTGCTCTCATGGCAGGACAGACACCCCAGATGGCTTGGAGGGGCTGAGGTTGAGAAAACACGCATTACAGACAACCTTGCTGGTTTTACAGTGAGGAGGAGGCAGGATTCCAGAGCCACCGGGTCAAAAACTAGAGCACGCCTCTCCTGGGCTCAGGCTTAGCTGTGGTTACTTGCTTGGTATACAATCTAGGATATTATACTTGACTCCTTCCCCACATGATAATCAAATTTGCCTTCTAACCATACTGTGTGTGAGAGAGAGAGAAAGAGAGAGAGAGAGACAGAGAGACAGAGACAGAGAGACAGAGAGACAGAGAGACAGAGAGACAGAGAGAGCGTGCCCATGTGTGCAAGTCAAGGATAATGTTCGGGAATAAACTTTCCTTCCTTACCGACTAAGGGATTGAATTCAGTTCATCACATTTGAGTGTAGCCACTTTTGACTGCTGCTGAGCCATCTTGCCAGCCCACCTCATATGATTTCTGAGTATGTGTCAGTTAACATGATTTTGTGAGGGCATGCATGAGTGTGTGTTCATGTGTATGCACTTGCATTCCTTTGCCTCCCTAGTGCTGGGAATATAGGAATATGCTACTATGCAGAGTCTTTTTAAGAATCTGTGGCTCCTGGCAATGACACTGGAGCTCTCATACCTGTGCAGCATGGAGCCATCCCCATACTCCTATAATCTGTTGCTTTTGGTTTGTTTGTTTTTGAGACAGATTTCTCGACGGAAGAGTCCTAGCTATCCTGGAACTCTCTCTATAGACCAGGCTGGCCTCGAACACACAGAGATCCACCTGCCTCTGCCTCCTTAATGCTGGGATTAAAGGTGTGTGATGCCACCACCCAGCAACACTTAACTTTTCAAAGGATGTTTGCAGGTAGGAGATCATGAAAGTCTGAGGGGGTGTGGAAAAAAGAGTCTGAGTGCAGTGCTCATATCTAAGAAAACACACAGGACACAGACCATCACACCCCATCCTCATAAGATGGTGGGTTAATACCATTAATGCTTGGATAACGAGGTCATTGTAATGAAGAAAAGGAAAGTTCCAAACATAAGTTCCAGGGCTCCTAAAGAGTCAACCCAGCCTACGCTACCCCTGCACAGCAATCAAAAGTTTGAGTCCAGCTTTGATTACACAGTGGATATAAGGCTAGACCAGGTCTCAAAACATGAGCAGGGGCCCTCAGTTCTTGAAAAAGTGATAGCCTGCTACACATGAGGCCCTGGATTCTAACTTCAGGATGGACAAAAGAGCCAAGAATTCACAAATTATACACACATTTATTTTTATTGGATTGTGGGTTATTTTTTGGAGACAGGATCTCCCTCTTTAGACATGACTGACCTGGAAACCACTATGAATGCAACCCAGACTAGTGTAAAAATGCTCAGAGGCCCTCTTGCCTCAGTTTCCCCGGAGCTGGAGCTACTAGTATGAGTCCCCATACATGGCTCAGCTCCAGCAGTATTTATTACTCTTTAGACACACTCTCTTGTCAATTCTGGCCATGCCCTGCACTCTCTATTCAACCAAGGGTGACCCTGAGTTTCTGATCAGCCTCCACTACCTGAGAGGCTGGGATTACAGGCATGGACCACTGTATGATGCCTGGAAACAAATCCAGGACCTGTGCGTATATGAAAAAATATATCCAAAAAAAGAAAGAATATATCATGTTACTCTGTAAATATGCACAACTCCAAGAGCTCTCCCCTGTTCAGATCAGCTGTCTCTGCTGGTTTTGCCAGCCCATTCTTTGCCAATTTGCTCATCACTCCTCTCTCTCTGTCACTGGGTTCCTTGGGTTCAGTTCAGTGATTAGTTGTGTGTTTGCCTCTGCTTCCATCAGTCACTGGATGAAGGCTCCAGGATGGTTATAGACATCAAGTTCATTATCAGGAATGGGCATTCGAGGTGGTCCCTCCACTATTGTTTAGCTTGCCAATTGATGTTATACCTTTAGATCACTCGAGGTCACTCTGGGGAGTGCTCTTGGACCCCAGACCGACAGTGGGGAGGCCAGCATGGGACTGATCTGGACCCCCCCAAATGTGAGTGTCAGTGAGAAGGCCTGGGCAACCTATGGGGCCCTGAGCTGTGGATCAGTGTCTATCCCTGGTATACAAACTGTCTTCATGTGCCTATAGCACAAAGAGAGATGCTCTCTCAGCCTGGACTCTTAGGGGAGTGCTTGACCCTACCAAGAGTAAAATGACAGACTCTAGTGTGGAAGGATTTGGCAATAGGGTGGGAGGGAGGGGGGAAGGGGAGTGCGGGTAGAGGGGAGGGAGAGGGAACTGGGATTGACATGTAAAACAAGCTATTTAAAATTAAAATAAAAAATGATAAAAAAATATGCACAACTCACAATTAACAGAAAACGTCAGGCACGGTGGCACATGCCTTTGACCCAGTACTTTGGAGGCAGGAGATGGATATCTGAGTTATAGCTACTTGTCTCAAAGTATTAATGGATTCATTACATACACAGTGTTCTACATGCCAGAAGAGGGCACCGCATCTCATCGCAGATGGTTGTGAGCCACCGTGTGGTTGCTGGGAATTGAACTCAGGTCCTCTGGAAGAGCAGCCAGTGCTCTCAACCTCTGAGCCATCTCTCCAGCCCCCCCAAATAGCATCTCTTTAAGAGTCAATCCAGGGCTTCATGTGGAGACTGTAGGACTAGAGAGAGATCAGTGGTGAATTTTAGAGTTGCTTATGTTTCTTGAGAATAAGAATTTGATCCCAGAACCCATAACAGGGTAGTTTACAAACCATCTGTAATTATAAATCCAGGAGATCTAATGCCCTGTTCTGGCCTCTAAAGCCATCTCCACATATGTGTATACCAACATGCAGTCACAGATACATGAAACAAAAATCTTAAAAAAACAAAGTTGATGAAAAAAATTTTTGTGTTTTTCTCCTTAAAATCTCACTTAGTTTTAAAAGGTATTTAAAAAAATCTGTTTAATTGAAATCAAATAATATCACTATTCCTCTTCAATCTGACATGACTACCACTCACAATTTGATATGTTTTCTTTTATATATACATGCACAAGCATATATACACACATGTATATATGCACACATGTAGACACATTTATATATGCACACACTTATGCCTATGTATACATGTACACATATATACACACTTTTATATACATATGTATTTACATACACACATATTTACATATATTTATGTATAAGTAAACACACACACACACAACCTGCTGGGTCTGTTTCTGTTGTTGGTGAGTATATGGTTTCTGACCTGAACACCCTACATTTTACAACCAGTCAGGGTGAGTATTGAATCAGGGTTCTATAGAAGTCAAACTACCCAGGAACAGATTCAGACAAGGAGACCGAGGAGAAAGGCAGTGATTGGACTCACAGAGAGCTCTGATCTTGTACTTCCTGCAGGATGTCTTGGATTGAAAAGGATAGAGTCTGCAGTGAAAAACAGTTCCTCAAACAGTAGGCAGCCACCATCAGATCAGAATAGTTCTTAGCCACAAACTTGATCCGCTGCCAGAAGTCCATCACCTGCATGACAAAGGCTTCATTCTCCATCTCAAACAGGCAATAAAACAATTTCATGTCATCAACTTGTTCCCAAAGGTCTTCGTCGATACTGATCTCTTCCAGGCTCTGACACAACTTCTGCTCTACCTCCTGGGACAACTGGTAGCCAAAAAACGCTTGTAGCTTTTCTTGTTCCGATTTGTGTAGAAGGCCAAAGATGAAACAGCCCAAGTAAATCCAGTGCACCCTGACTTTACTGAGAAACGTAAACAGGAGTGTCTCTATACCTTGAACATCTTTACTAGGGTGGTCCTCGTGGCTCTTCACCAGATAAAATACAGCGGCACAGAACTCCTGGATGGACGGGTGGTGGAATTTGTAGAAATTCTTGGAGTCCTTGCTCTTCAGAAGTACACTCATGTTCAGGAGTGTGGAGATGTCTGAACTGACAATCCCATTTCTCCCAAGATCCTCCTGGTTAAATACAAATTTGTCAGTCCACATGCCCTCAGCAGCCAGGGAACACAGGCCTCTCAGCAGGTCTTGCCCTTTTTTACTTGGACCATGGGCACTTTTGGGAATGAACAAATTCAAGATGTAAGCAGTGTACACAGAGGTGATACATCGACAGACAGAGGCTGGGTCTCGTGCCTTTTCTTTCTCGTTTTTTAGACAAGTGGCCACCGCCCAGCAGAGAGTAGGGATGTGACACATACGGAATAACTGTTCTTTTTCCCTCACCAACCTGAAGACATTTTGGGCTGTGCTCTCATCCTGGAACAATTCCTGGAAACACATCCTAATAGTGTTTTCATCAAACCCTGTCACTGTTTTCATATCTGTGTAGTCTATCCTGTGCTCCAACTGATCAAAACTCTCGGGAGTACCAGCGATGAGGAGAGAGGATTCTGGGAGCATCTTCCTCCTAAGCAAACTGCTCAGCAGTATGTTCACTGGACGCTTCTCCATCCAATTATCACACAGCTCCAATTCCGGTTCGGTCAAATCACAATTTAGCCCTTCCAAGCTGTCAATGATGAACAAGAGCTTGGCAGGTTGGGATACTATCTCCACTATGGAAGCTGAGGGGCTGGACCACTCTCTGAACATCAGGTAGGCCAGGCTCTCTGTCTTCAACTGCTTTACTTCCTCACAGCAGAGGTAGAAGATGTAGGAGAATTCGTCCTGAAACAACAGGCCTTCTGACCAGGCCAGCATTAACTGGAACAGCACCAGTGTCTTGCCAACTCCTGACACTCCTTTCAGGAGCACTGTGTGTGGCCTCTTCTCAGTTGTCTCTGATATGAAAAGCTGCTGCAAATAACTGACTTTGTCCTTTGTGACTTCCGGCTTCAGGAAATACTGAATCGGGATGTAGAACTTTCTGGACCAATCCTGACACAGCTTGTTCTTCAGATGAGCTTGATATATCTTTGACTGTCCTGTGTCAGTGAGTAGAAGAGAAAAAAAATCCACAACACATCAAAGTTAAGCATTCACCCATATATGATCTGACTTTGATATTTAAATTCTCAGGATGTGTACCCTTAAAAGACATTCATTACTAATCATGTGTGTGGATTTGTGGGTTCCTGTGGAGGCTAGAGGGGTTGCATGCCCCTCTTTCCCTGGAGCTGGAGTGAAAGTTGGATATAAGCATCCCACATGGGTGCTGGGAATTGAACTTAGGTCCTCTGAAAGAGAAGGGCACGCTCCTAGCCATCAAGTTGCTACTTTAGCCTGCTTGCCATGTATGTTTTTAGGGATCTGTAAGCTGTGGGCCCAGAACGGTTTTAAGGCGAGGCTTTCACTGGCCCTTGAGCACAGCTGGCATTCTGTGTAATGAATGTCACTGTTAAACTGTCACATGCTATTTCAGAAGCTGGCACTGGAAGTGGGGTGGACCCTGTCCCCCACTTCAGACCCAAACATGTCTGCATCTAGTGCCTTCTGTGGTTTATTCTCTGGAAATGCCTGACCCCCCCCACTCTGGAACAGGAAGAGAGGAAGAGAATAAAAGAGCTTGAGGGCATAAATACCACACCCTGGAGAATGGCTAGAATGTGAACCCTTTCTAGCCGATATTGTGGCTGTTTACCCCATGATGTAAGATTGGCTGGAGTGGGGGAAAAGAAGCCTGGACTAGAAGCATGGCAAACTCAGCCATGGAGAGACGGCTCAATCGGGAGCTCCAACTAACTCCAGCTTTCCCAGCTGGGTGTCTTAGAGCACTGTTTGACCACATAACCTTCCTACCTTTATTTTCTGTCTTTTTAGTTAATTTTTAAAATCTATTTACATACCAATCATAATAACCCCTCCTTAATCTTGTCCCATTCCCTCCCCCCACCACCTACCTACCACCCCCATCCACTCCTCTGAAAGCATCAGGCCTCCTGTAGGGGTCACCAGTGCATGGCATATCAAGTTGAAGCAGGACCAAGCTCCTCCCCACTTCATCCAGCATGAGAGAGGCATCCCACCATAGGGAATGGGTTCCAAAAAGCCAGCTCATGCACCAGAGACAGAATCTGGTCGCACTACAAGGATTCCCACGAACAGACAAAGCCACACAACTGTCACCCACATGAAGAGGGAGTTGGTCAGTCCCATGCAGGCATCCTAGCTGTTGGTTGAGAGTCCATGAGCTCCCACAAGCTGGGGTCAGCTGTCCCTCTGGGGTTCCCTCATCAGTATTTCATATAATCCCTCCTCCCTCTCTTCAAATGAACTCCAGGAGCTTGGCCCAGTGCTTGGCTGTGGATCTCTGTATCTGCTTCCATCAGTTTCTGGGTGAAGGCTTTCTGGTGACAATTAGAGTAGTCACCAATTTTATTACAGTAGATGGCCAGTCCAGGTACCCTCTCCACTATTGCTAGGAGTTTTAACTGGGGTCATCATTGTAGATTCCTGGGAGTTTCCCTGGCACCAGGTTTCTCCCTAACCCCATAATGGCGCCCTCTTTCAGTAGATGGAGAGGGAGAGCAGTGAAAGAAATATCTGCTCGCTCTTTCAACTGGAAGTAGTGCTTGAGAGGATGCTCTCTGCTCTGCTTGAGACTCTCCCTGATTGGGAACTCCAGATGGCTGTCTTTAAGATGCTTCCCAGCCAACATGTATTGGATGAGATGTACGCCTAATTTGAAAATATTTTCCTATCTTTTTACCTACCTAACGCTCATCCATCCAACCATCCATCTATCCATCTGTCTATCCATTCACCTGCTATTCATTATTTTACTTTGAATTGTTATGTATGTAACATAGTTATTAAAAACCAAAACCATGGCCTCATAGATAATTATCTGGACCACACAAAGCCCTCAGCTGTGTATAGCTGGGCTCCTCTGACAGCAGAAAGACAAGCTTGGTGTGGCATACTGCATGGACTCCAATCTTGTCAACCGATGCTGCATACATCGAATGAATTGGTACAGGAGACTGCTTCCTGAACATAACACCACTAGCACAAACAGTGAGGTCAACAATTAATAAATGGGACCTCCTGAAACTGAGAAGCTTCTGTAAGGCAAAGGACACAGTCAGCAAGACAAAAAGGCAGCCCACAGAATGGGAAAAAATATTTACTAACCACACATCTGACATTTGGGCTGATCTCCAAAATTTACAAAGAACTCAAGAAGCGTGTCTCTAAAACACAAAAGGATCCAACTAAAAAGTGGGCTACAGAACTAAATAGAGAATTTTCAATAGAGGAGGCTAAAATGGCTGAGAGGCACTTGAGAAAGTGCTCAACATCCTTAGCCATCTGGAAAATGCAAATCAAAACAACTCTGAGATACCGGTCAGAATGGTGAAAATCAAAACACCTGCGACAATTTATGCTGGAGAGGTTGTGGTGAAAGGGGAACACTCCTCCACTGCTGGTGGGAGTGCCAACTTTTACAGCCACTTTGGAAATCAGTATGGAGTTTCCCCAGAAAAATGGGAATAAACCTATCACAAGACTCAGCAACTCCACTTTTAGGCATAGATCCAAAACATGCCCATTCATACTACAAGGACATCTGTTCCACTATGTTCATAGCAGCATTATTTGTAATAGCCAGAACTTGGAAGCAACCTAGATGCCCCTCAACCGAAGAGTGGATAGAGAAAATGTGGTACATTTACACAATGGAGTACCATTTAGCAGAAAAAAAAAACAATGGAATCCTGAGACTTGCAGGCAAATGGATATCACTAGAAGAAACCATCCTGAGCAAGGTAACCCAGTCACAAAAAGAGAAACATGGCATGTACTCTCTCATATATGGATTTTAGACATAGATCTGGGGAGTGCCAGCCTACAATCCCATGGCCAGAGAGTCTGGGAAACAGAACCTTCATTCAGTGGCTGATGGAAGCAGAGGCAGACTCCCACATCTAAACACTGAGCTGAACTCAAGGAATCCAGTGACAGAGAGGGAGGACTGATGACCAAAGGGGCTAAGACTGGGCTGGTTTAACCCCTAGAAACAGCTGACCTGACAAGGGTTAGCTCTTGAATCCCAGACTGATGGCTGGGATTCCAGCATGGGACTGATCAAGACCTCCTGAATGTGGGTGTCAGTGAGGAGGCCTGGGTAATCTATTGAGCCTTGGGCAGTAGATCAGTATTTATCCTGGGTATACAAATGGCCTTTGGGCTCCCATCCAACAATGTGAGATGCACTCTCACCCTGGACTCTTGGGGGAGGGTCTAGGCCCTGCCTTGTATGAAATGACAGACTATGGACACCCCCATGGAGGGCCTCACCCTCCATGGGGAAATGAGAGGATATTGGAAGGGTTGATGGGAGGACACAGGAGGAGGGGAAGGAAAGGGACCTGGAATTGACATGTGAAGCAACCTTGTTTCTAGTTTAAATTAAAAAAAAAAGGAAAAAATGTTCAACATGCACAACTTCCCACATATATGGCATGAAAGCAAAAAGGAGTCTGTTTACGAGGTAAGAGGGCACCAGAGGGAGGGAAAGAGAGGAGAGTCACAGTGGGGGAGTACTGTTAGCAAAGCCCAAACCCACCCACATGGGCGTACACACACGCGCACACACACACACGCACACACACACACACACAGGCTCACACACGCACACACATGCACACGCACGCGCACACACACGCTACACGCACATGCTACACACACGCACACTCGTGCGCACATACACACACATGCTACACACACGCACTCGTGCGCACATACACACACATGCTACACACACACACTCGTGCGCACATACACACACGCACACACACACACAAATTTTATGCTGAAACTCATTTCGTATGCCAAGTGTAACAAATTCTAAAAGATGTTCAATAGAAATAGAAGGCAGGTTGGGCAATCAGAGCAGATAGAGGAAAACCAAGCCGAACAGCATGTGGAAAATGTTCCCACTAAATTTAAGAACCAACAAAACGGGGGCTGATGAGATGCCTTAGGGGGAAAACGCACTTGCCAAAGAGCCCAACAACCTGAGGTTGGTCCCCGAGACCCTAATGATAGAAGCAGAAATAACTATCAGAAACTGTTGTCTGACCTCCCCCTGGGCACCATGGCATACCAGTGTGTGTGCACACACACACATAACAGAGAACACATAACTCAAAAGAAGCCAATAGGCGGAGTTGTTATTCATTAGAAGTAGCTGAACAGAAGCAGGTTAGTGGTGGCGCACGCCTTTAATCCCAGAGCTACAGAGGCAGAGGAAGGCAGATCTCTGTGAGTTCCACGCCAGCCTGGTCTACAAATAGAGTTCCAGGACAGAGAAACCCTATCTTGAACCCCCCAAAAAAAAAAAAAGAATTTCTGAAATAAAGACAGTTGGAAACACAATTGAGCCTGAAGCACACACAGACAAAAAGATACAAAGATACACAGAAGACACGGTATGATAACCTAACACATTGGGGATCAAGATGGCTCAGTGGTTAAAAGCATCTGAAAGACCCGGGTTAAGTTCCAAGCGAGCACAAGGAGGCATCCACATGACTGTCCAGTACCAGGAGATCTAAACGCCCTCTTCTTGTTTCCAAGGGCAGTGCAGTCACTCTCACGTAGACCTAAGGCAGTTTCGAACTGTTCTCATATACTTTAGTCCTAAAAAAAGACATTTAACATGTGCATTTGGAGTCCCAGAATAAGTAAGAGAGTAGCAAGACCAGCACAGACACATTTTTAAAACGACAAACGAAAGACCGCAGATTTTGTAGCCACAGACCTAAGATTATCAGTGAATCACATCCATGATATCTTACACCAGGATAGATGTACACGTGACTCTTAAGACCACACTGTTGATGGCACATAGCAAGCCTATGACACAAACCTCACCGTAAAGAAGCCTGAACCAACTCACCAGCAATCTCTCTTGCTGCCCTCTCGCTGAGATCATTCCTGTTGATATTCTGGAAGATGCTTAATGTCACATCCCAGGCCTTCTTCTCATAGTACTTCACCAGCAAGTTGGCAAGGTCTTCCCGTGATGCCTTCTTTACTTCCATCCAAGGGATCTGTTGCAGCCCACACTGCAGCCCCTCCTGCTTGAGGACCTCCTTGAACTTCATGAACTCCTTCTTGTTTAGCTCTTGCAGGTACCACATAAGGCCAAAATCGGAAAAGAAAGACGCCATCCCGTCTTAAAGAGGAACACATGGGTATTTAGAGAGACGAACACCTGGAGGAAGAAACAGACTGGATCAGTTGGGAAACCAGGCAAGCATCGAGTTATTTTTTTCAATGGTGTCAAGGGGACAGTTGAGTAGGTGACGTGTTTGTTGGGCAACTTTAAGGACATGCGTTTGCACCCTCAGCACTCCAGTGAGGAACAGAGCGTGGCGGCACAGCTCTGTTAGTCTAACACTGGAAAAACAGAGACAGGAGAAACCCTGGGGTCTGCTGGCCAGCTGGTCTACCCAACTCTGGTGAGCTTCTGGCTTACTGAGAGACTGGGTTCCCAATACCTGCACAGGTGTGTTGGGCAGGGGAGGGGGCGCTCACAGCTGCCTGTAACTTTAGCTCCAGAGGACCCCACACCCTCTACGGACGCTGCAGATATGGCAGACATGTGCACACATACATACTGTCATCTCCAACTCTGGTGATACCAGGTGCAATGCTAGTATACAGGTCTGTATTTATGATGATGGTATATAATAGATAGATTTCTGGCATAAACTGGCTATAAATGAAAACCGAATCCAGGGAGTATAGAGGCATGGTCCTGGAATCCCAACTACTTCAGAGGCCGAGGCAGGAGGATTTCAAATGCATGATTTGCCTGCGAACATAGTTAAGTCAAGGCAAGCAACTTAGTAAAACCCTGATTTAGTATTAAAAGTATGGCTGGAGAGTTCACTCAGTGGTTAGCAGCACTGGCTGTTCTTCCAGAGGACATGGTGTCAATTCCAAGCATCCATACAGCAACTAACAACTGTCTGAAACTCCAAGATCTAAAATCCTCATACAGATATAAGTGTAGGCAAAACACCAATGGACATAAAATAAACAGAAGTAAATTATTTAAAAAACTAACTACTTAGTATCTGAAATGCATGACACAGGAGATTTAAGAGCAACAGAGTGCCATTTTAAATAAGATTATGTTATCAAAAAAGGCCATGAAACTTTTTGTAATTGCTAGAGAAGATTGAGGCCAGGGCCTCATGGACAGCTATCATTAGAGATGGAGCCAGAGCCTCATGCTTGATAAGTACATGCACAACCACTAGGGATTGAAGATAAGCCTCATGTGTGCTGTGCACATACAAGCATTGGAGATTGAAGCCAGGACCTCATGACTTTACACACACACCACCAGATGCATGTCATGTACACACTACCAGAGACTCAATCCAGGGTGTCTTACATGCTAAATACACAGCAATACAAGAGACTGAAGTCAGAGCCTCATGCATGCTTTGTATACACAACCATTAGGGATCATCAATGTCTAGGAAGCACAGGGAGCAGAAAGAACATGGAAAACTTGAGCAAACAGCCAGGCAAAGAGCAGGTGTCAGTTTTGAGTAGCAGGAGTCACTCTGAGAGTCTTATAGCTTTCCTGGATCTCACAGAGATCCACCTGCCTCTGTCTCCCTAGTCTGGGATTTAAGGCATGCACCACCACAAAATCATAGAAGAATACTTTCCCAAACTGAAGAATGACATGCCTATGAAAGTTCAAGAAGCTTACCAAACAGCAAATAGACTAGACCAAAAAAAAAAGTTCCCTTGCCGCATAGTATTCATAACACCAAACATACAGAATCAAGAAAGAATATTAAGAGCAGCGAATGAAAAAGGCCAAGTAACATATGAAGGCAGACCTATCAGAATTACACCTGACTTCTCCATGGAAACTCTGAAAGCCTGAAGGTCCTGGATAGATATTCTACAAACACTAAGAGACCACGGAAGACAGCCCAGACTACTATACCCAGCAAAATTCTCAATCACTATAAATGGAGAAAGCAAGACATCCCATGACAAAACCAGATTTACACAATACATGTACATAAATCCAGCCCTACAGAAAGTTCTGGAAGGAACACTCCAACCCAAGCAAGTTAACTACACTCAAGAACATAGACTATAGATAATCACATTTTGCCAAAAGCCAAAATAGGGGAAAAAGCAGGCACAATACCACCACCAAAAACAAAAATAAAACAAACAAGAATCAAAACTGAATGGTCATTAATATTCCTCAATGTCAATGGTCTTAACTCACCTATAAAATATACACCCTAACAGAATGGATAGAAAGGCACAATCCATCCTTCTGCTACATACAAAAACACACCTCACCTTCAGAGACAGATGTTACCTCAGAGTCAAGGTTTGGGAAAAGTTTTTCCAAACAAATGGCCCTAAGAAGCAAGCTGGTGTAGCTGTCCTAATGTCTAACAAATCAGACTTCAAACTAAAAAGAGATGAAGGTTATTTCATATTCATCACAGGAAAAATTCATGATGATGAAGTCTCAATTCTCAAAACCTATGCACTATAACAAAGGCATTCACGTTTGTAAAAGCAACATTCCTAAAACTCAAATCACACATTAAACCCCACACACTTATAGTGGGAGACCTCAACACCTCACTCTCACCACTAGACAGGACCACCAGACAGAAACTTCACAAAAAAACCAAGGAACTAACAGAATTTATGACCCAATTAGGTTTGACATCTATAGAACATTCCATCCAAACACAAATGAATATAACTTCTTATCAGCACCACATGGAACCTTCTCTAAAACCAACTACATACTCAGCAATACAGGAAACCTCAACAGATAAAAAAATCGCAATCCAGAGAATCATCAGGTCATATTTTGAAAACCTGTACTCCCCAAGTTGGAAAATTTAAAGGAAATGGACAATTTTCTGGATAGATATCACTTACAAAAATTAATCAAGAATAGATAAGCAATTTAAATAAACCTATAACACCTACAAAATACAGTCATTAAAAGTCTCCCAACCAAAAAAAAAAAAAACACCCAGGGCCAGATGGTTTTAGTACAGAATTCTACCAGAAATTCAAAGAAGAGCTAATACCAATGCTCCCTAAATTGTTCCACACAATAGAACAGAAGGATCAATACCAAACTCTTTTTTTTTAATCAATGAGAAGGTCATGTTTAATATCAATGACTCCAAGGAACTACACAATTAGTATTTGCATATTATCATAATTTGCTTTTACTCACATGTAGTAACACTATCATGATACCTACATATTTAAGTATATATATTTTTTAATTTTCCAGTTTAAATTTAGATAAGAAACAAGGTTGCTTCACAAGTCAGTTCCAGGTCCCTCTTCCTTTCCCTCCCCTCCTCCTGTGTCCTGCCCCCAACCCCCCCCCCCGTTATCCCCTCATTCCCCCAGGGAGGGTGAGGCCCTCCATGGGGGTGTCCATAGTCTGTCATTTCATATAGGGCAGGGCCTAGACCCTTCCCCAAGAGTTCAGGGTGAGAGTGCACCTCACATTGTTCTTTGGGAGTCCAAAGTCCGTGTGTATACTTGGAATGGGTACTGATCTGCTGTCTAAGGCTCAATAGATTACCTAGGCCTCCTCACTGACACCCACATTCAGGGTGTCTTTATCAGTCCCATGCTGGATTCCCAGGCTGATGCCTGGGATTCAATAGTTAACCTTTGTCTGGTCAGCTGTTTCTGGGGGTTAAACCAGCCCAGTCTTAATCCCTTTGATCATCAGTCCTTCCTCTCTGTTACTGGCTTTCTTGAGTTCAGCTCAGTACTTAACCGAGGGAGTCTGCCTCTTCTTCGATCAGCCACTAAATGAAGTTTCTGTTTCCCAGACTCTCTGGCCATAGGATTGTAGGCTGGCACTCCCCAGATCTATGTCTAAAATCCATATATGAGAGAGTACATGCCATGTTTCTCTTTTTGTGACTGGGTTACCTCACTCAGGATGGTTTCTTCTAGTGTCATCCATTTGCCTGCGAATCTCATGATTCCATTATTTTTTTCTGCTGAATAGTACTCCATTGTGTAGATGTATCACATTTTCTCTATCCACTCTTTGGTTGAGGGGCATCTAGGTTGCTTCCAAGTTCTGGCTATTACAAATAATGCTGCTATGAACATAGTGGAACAGATGTCCTTGTAGTATGAATGGGCATCTTTTGGATATATGCCTAAGAGTGGAGTTGCTGGGTCTTGTGGTAGGTTTATTCCCATTTTTCTGAGGAATCTCCATACTGATTTCCAAAGTGGCTGAACCAGTTGGCACTCCCACCAGCAATGGAGGAGTGTCCCCCTTTCACCCCATTCTCTCCAGCATAGATTGTCATTGGTGTTTTTGATTTTAGCCATTCTGACAGGAGTGAGATGGTATCTCAGAGTTGTTTTGATTTGCATTTCCCGGATGGCTAAGGATGTTGAGCACTTTCTCAAGTGCCTCTCAGCCATTTTAGACTCCTCTAATTGAAAATTCTCTATTTAGTTCTGCAGCCCACTTTTTAATTGGGTCCTTTGATGTTTTGGAGACTTGCTTCTTGAGTTCTTTGTAAATTTTGGAGATCAACCCTCTGTCAGATGTGGGATTAGTGAATATTTTTTCCCATTCTGTGGGCTGCCTTTTTGTCTTCCTGACTGTGTCCTTTGCCTTACAGAAGCTTCTCAGTTTCAGGAGGTCCCATTTATTAATTGTTGATCTCACTGTCTGTGCTACTGGTGTTATGTTTAGGAAGCTGTCTCCTGTACCAATTCGTTCAAGGGTACCACCCACTTTCTCTTCTAAGAGGTTCAGTGTGGCTGGATTTATGTTGAGGTCTTTGATCCATTTGGACTTAAGTTTTGTGCATGACGATAAACACGGATCGATCCGCATTCTTCTACATGCCAGTCTCCAGTTATGCCAGCACCATTTGTTGAAGATGCTTTCTTTATGCCATTGTATATTTTTAGCTTCTTTGTCAAAGATCAGATGTTCGTACGTGTGTGGGTTAATACCCGGGTTTTCAATTCGATTCCATTGGTCTACCTGTCTATTTTTGTGCCAATACCAAGCTGTTTTCAGGACTATAGCTCTATAATAGAGCTTGAGGTCAGGGATGGTGATGCCTCCAGACATTGCCTTGTTGAACAGGGTTGTTTTGGCTATCCTGGGTCTTTTGTTTTTCCATACAAAATTGATTATTG